TCGAATAGTAGCTACTACACCAACAAATTAAAACTGTAGGATTTTAAAATTCCCATTTTCCCAAGTTCATTAATTTATTTGATTTTATCTTGCTAATTTGAGATTTAAAAAGCGGTTTGAATGTTGAATATTTCATTCTTCATTATTTTTCTTTTGCAATTATAACAAGTTAAAAAATAATGTCAATAGAGAAAGGATTTAATATTTTCTTTCTGATTTTTTTCATAAATTTCCTCATAGAGTTAAGAGATACAATATTTAATTTGAATGATAGAAAAATTAGTAGAAATAAATATGGTAAATTTTGTTCATTTTAGAAAACTTCCATTTGTAAAGTTGTATTTTAAATTAAATTTAAAACAGTTTTAAAAATGATTTCTGGAAGTTATTATTAATTTATACTGGATTGCAATGTAACTCTTATCGAACTCTTTTCAATATTTTTTACTCGTCCTTTATGGTCATGCTGTCACTCATGTACAAATTCCCTAAAAGTATGCAAGAATTATTTGCAAAGTCTGTTGTAAAATAAAAAATTGCTTTTGTATTAAAATTAAAATTTTGTAATTAAAAATACTTTTATGTAGACATTACAGCTCTAAATTTTTATATATATATACGTATAATATATGTATATATAATTATTATTTGAAAAGAATACGGCAACCAATTACCATTATAAAAAGATTTAATTATACCTACGTATACTATACAGTTAAAAAGTATGTCAAGGTATCCTTTAAAATTAACTCCAAGAAATAGACGATCAATAATAATTAGTTTTTTACATATAAAGAATAATAATTGATAAGCAATTAATATTTAAAAACTTGTTTTTTTTAAGTAATTTGGAATTCATAATAAAGAAACGCTAAAATCACTCAATATCGTGATTTAAAAATTTAACATAATTTAAAAATTTTCAAAAAAAAATTTCATTTTAAAATTACTCTAAAGTACAAAATATATTAATATTTACAAAAAATTGAAAAATATATTAAAATTTATTACAGCCATATAATTATATCATGATATTTAAACATATGTATATAGTTTCTTTTAAAAATATAAAACAATCATCATCAAAATTGTGTAACTAAATAAATCTGCATGCAGTATAATTATTATTGTGAGAAGAACAAGAATTCTATTATAATTTAGTCGTGAAGGAGGAATATTTATGTATCTACCTATATATACATAATATATTATATATTTGGTATTGTATTCCTTACCACAATAGATGTCAACAATTTTGTGGCTAAAATAACATCTCATTTAGTTAAGTGATAATATATAACATTAGATGTGATTCTTAACTTAAGAAAATTTGTAAAATAAGGGATTCTTGGTTTCTTTTTCTTTCTATATTTTTTCTTTCTTTTTTTTGGCTTTTTGCGCAGAGAAACCAAAACTCTCAGCTTGATTTTGGTTTTGTTTTTTTTTTTTATGTGTGTGTTTTGTATAAGAAACATTAAAACCTAACAAAAAATTATAAAATTAATATTAAAATCTAGGATCATAATTATTCTGCTCTATATATGTAAATACAAATTTTCAGCATTTACCACACACAATATATGTATAATATATATTAATATGTACATACTTATACACACATATTATACAAAAATAATTTAATGAAATTTGTATTTGTTGCAAGAACAATATAATTACGGTGTTATCACTCTTCCCCGTCTCTCAACCAACTCAATTTGTTTTAAAAATGTTAATTTTAATGGTACTACTACGTAAATTTCCTGGTACTTTAAAAAAAAAAAAACAACAATAACAAAACTCAAAATAACAAAGTGGAATATACTTTTTTGTTGTTGTTCTTCTTCTTCCTGCGAATACTACTATTGTTATTATATTGCTACTATTTTATTGCTAATGATTTCGCTGCTGATAATTATTATTGTATATAAACTATTACTACAATATTACTTACATAATATACATATTGAACATACATATATACAATTATTATATATAAACAAATATGCAAGGATCAAATTCAACAATGTACAAAATATAATAAAAACACTGATGATGCAACACTGTGAGTAGAAAAAATTGGAAAAGAAAAAAAGTAAAACAAAATGGGGTAAGAAAAAGAGTAAACTAAAAGAAGAAAAAATATATGTATGTTGACATTATGTATGGCATCTAGTTTGTGGTATACGTGGTAATGTAGAGTGGCTTTAGCATACTTTATGTCTTAACTTAGTATTATGTATATAGAGAGTATATCTACATAAATGTGAATACATATATAGTGTACATAATATATGCGAAAACAACATATTATGTTTATATGTTCAAAAAGAAAAAAAAAATTTAAATGAAAATTGTGAAGCCAACATCAAGAGGGATGTGTTGTTTTGTTGCTTGATACTCTCATGGATTTTATGTTGCGGAGAAAATATATTTTACCAGAGCTTTGGTCGCATCCTTAATTTGGTATTATATGAATTTAATTTTTTTCTTTCGGTTTGTCCTTATTTTTTCTTTTTTTCTTTTTTCATATACATATTTTTATATTTAATATAATATTTTTATTTTTTGTTTTTTATTTTGTAAAGTATGGAGGAATGTTTTACTTGTCGCTTCATGTTACTCTTTAATGTAATACAAATTATGCACATATATATTATCTATATGTAGGTTAAAAAAAAATTTACATACAATATATAGTATATATTAATAATGTATTGCAAAAGAAAAAAAAAGAAACGTGTAATGACTTTTAAGGTTGTCATTTTAACATGCTGTAAAGGAAGCATGAAAAAGAAGAAGTGCTAGGATTTAAATTCAAAAAAAAAGGACATACTATGCATACATTTTTTTTCAATATAAACTTAAAAATTATTAAAATTTATTATATTTAATAAAAGTGAACGTTATATAAATAATGTCTATATATATTTTTTTTCATTTGAAGAATAATATAGAGCATAATAATATACACATATAATATTAGTGTCAATTATGCATATGTGATTTTGTGTGTATTAATATTTTAATTTATGTAATTATTTTACTATGATATTCAAATTATTTTCTCAATTTTTCTTATTTTTTCGAAAAAAAAAAAAGAAAATTGGCAAAACCTCAAAATTTTCGTTAACCATAATTACATGCCGTTTCGTATTTTTAATAAATGTATTTTATGTATACAAATGTTTTTTTTATATATAAATTTATATATTGTACATTCCCACACATTATATGAAAATGACTTAATAATTTCGAATGGAAAATTGTGTCAACTGCAATAACAATGAACAAAAATAAAAAATTGAAAATTAAAAGTTGCGAATAATTTACATTATGCAAATAATAACAAAATTAAAATGAAAAGAAAAATATATATTAATTGAATTTTGAATCATAATTAATTTGAAATAATTTTTAAAATTAAATTTATGTAGAGTCCTTTTTTTTCAATTTATTTAAGTTTTTTTAATTCAATCATTTTTAAATGAATAGCGCGCGATAGAAGTTATTGTTAAAAAATGTTGTTAAAGTTGATTAACAAATTTAGAGTTACATTAAAACTGTCAATATAAAGTTCGTGATTTGTGAGCTAGAATGAATAAAATGATAAATGTGGGTACTTCTGAATTTCATTGTATTGAAGAATTTTTTCAATTTACATAGTAAAGTTTTTAATATGAAAGAGTTAATACAATTTAGTTTTAAGAGAACTGTTTTGTATTAAAACTCAAACTTATATTTGCAACTCTTATTGATCTTGGAATTTCACTATAATTGTAGATTTGTATAACCAGGACAACAGTGCATCGCGACTATGAATAAGGATCTATTGTGCTCCCACCCTCTGAGAGCAGGGCATGCCCTACAATACACGCTCGAAAACCATTCTCCTTATAAACTGAAACCAACTCCGCTGCCATGAGAGCAAAACTAACCCTTTTTAATGGGTGAGAGCTTCACACCCCCCAGAGGGAGGTTTACATTGGTCTGTCGCAATCCCAAAAGACTTCTCCAACGCTCCGGCTTCTATGATTCTTTTCTTATTTCCTAACGAACAATATTTATGAAGTTCGATTATGCAGAAGAACTCCGGTCCAAGAATTCATTGAGCTTCTCAAGCCAGCTTCATATAAAAACTAATTTTACAAGTTTTTTTCAATTTCAAAATTTATAAGGCAGCAGTTTAAATAATTTGAAAAAATGTTTTATGTGGTTTTTGGATGTGCTTAAAACACAATTTTGGATTTTACTTTTCTGATATTTGAAACAAAATCCACCAATTATTATTTTTAAACGTTAGCTTCTTCATACTGCCACCACCCATTCTAATTAATATTAATTAAATTTAATCTTTTTACATGTAATAACCTACATTAGAATTCTTTAAAATACAAGCATATTTTCGAATTTATTGTTATAATATTCTAAGTGTCCAGAAAATTAAAATGTTAATTATTATATAAATATTCCAAATAAATAAAAATAAAGATAATTTGATGGGTTTTACCAATAATATCAATAAATTTTATTTAATGGAATACTTTATAAATAATCTAAATAACAATAATATAGATTACGCCTACAAATCTATTAATTGTTTAATATCACTTAATTAAAATGAAATATTTTCAATTTCGGTAGCAATAAAAGGAGTTTTAACGATTTCATTTTAATAACAAAGTTGTTTAATAAATTAAAAACAAGAACATTAATTCACAATATTGTCTGGGAATCCTTTTTATTATTATTGTTTGTAAGAACAAGAAAAAGAAATATTTTTTACTATTACAAATGGTTGTTTTACAAAATTTCTTACAAAATACAATTTTATTATTTTAGTTATTCAAAAATGAAACACATTGAAATTTAATGACGTTAATTTTTTTAGAAAAGTTTAATAAATCTATACTGCAAAACATTTTCCAATAAAATTTTTCGATTTTCTAAAGTACTTTATATTTTGTGTTATATAATTTATTTTCACTATTTTCTCCTTATAGGTGTCATCATCAGATGCTACTTCTGTTACTCTAAGAAGTGTTACACGTGAATTATCTGGTAATTATCAATGTGAAGTATCAGAAGATGCACCATTATTTCATACAGATATAAGATCAGCGCATATGCAAGTAATAGAATTGCCGAAAGAAGAACCGGTCTTACATGTAGATAAAAGACTTATAAGTTCATTAGATTCATTAAAAGCTACATGTACAGTTGGTGCTTCATATCCATCAGCAAATTTTACTTGGTACATTAATGCCAGACGTGTAAGTATCAATTAGTTTTGTTGCCATATTCGATTCAAATATAAAATTAAATTATAGGTTTTTAATAAATTTATATTTTGAATTTTATTTAAAATGCTATGGAACTTTACTTTCATATCTGCTCAGCTGATTTTTTTAATTTAATTTTTTTTCATTTATTTTTTGTTTATGTTATATAAAGTCGTCAAGGTCAAACTTTGAATCATATGGTTTTCGTATTTGATTGAGTATCTTGTTTATTTGTGGTTGAATTTAAAAGAATTATTCAGCATAATAAAAAAAAATATGATTTTTTTAATAATAATTTTTATACAATCATATTTTCAATTTCAAGGTGACTTTCATCTTGATCACTACATCACTGTATTAGTAAAAAAGATTTTTTTTCTAATTTTCGTTATTAAAATTTTTGTGATCATAATTTGTTTAGTAAATATTTTTTTTTTGAAAAAATGATAACACAAAAAATTACTCATAACCAAATTTAATTTTTCGCAGATAAAGAATAAATTTCAAATAGTTATGATTAGAGGTTGTAAATAGTGCAGACTGATGGTGACAATGCATTTTTGTGTGCACTTAAAATGAAAGAATAGATTTGAATTTTAAATAGAAATCCGATTTTAGAAAATCCTTAAACTTGTGCATAACAGGGGAAAGTTAATATTTTATGCTTGATCTCTCGCCCTAGAGAATTATTTTAAGAATTTTAAATAAAATGTGACGGAGGACGACTAAGTTTTTGGTACTATACCAAAATAATAAGTAAAATTTCAAGAAGAGAGTCGGTAAAAGTACATTTTTTCAATTGTTTCTCGTCTGATATAAAAATTTCAAAACTAGGCAATTGAGTTCACATATTATGAAAAAGGGTACTAGAAAATGGGAGATCATTTTTTATTGCCAACTAATATATTTTGAAAAACCCGAAAAATTATTGTAATAAGTTCGGCTAAATTAAATACTCATAATAAGTTAATTATTATCAAAGAATGTTTTATATTAGTAGAGCATAAAGTCTAAAAAAATTCTTTCAAATTATATGCAATTACTTTTTTATAACATTTCTTCTGACTTAGTTTAAAAAATTTGTAACAACTAGACGTATAAATTGCATATTTCATATTTTATTTTAATAAAAAATTTTAAATAGACACTATTTTATATTTTCGATAATCTTAAAGTAATTTTTGAAATTTGAAAATTTTTCAAAATATTACAAGTTAAAATTATGCTATTGGTAAAATTCACATTTTATTGTCATAACAGAATTTTTATCATTCACTTAATATCTCCACCTATCGCGAACAAAATATCCTTTGTAATATTAAATATTCTAAAATAATAATAAAATTACTCCATATTATACTATAAATAAGAGTTATAAAACTAAAAATTTAATTGAATCTGGTCGTTAAATATAGATATATACTCGTATGTGTGCATATACTGTAATTGCAAAATAAATAAGAGTATTATAAAGTAAATTTATTTAAACACGATTTATAAACATAACATACATATATCTGAAAGTACTTAACATAAGTACATCAATATGGTGATTCCAGAACTATAAAGAATAGTGTTTAGTTGTTAAATTGTTAAAGCGTTAAAACAAAAGTGGTGAATGTTTACTTAAAATATCTATAAATATATGAATACCTAACGTAGCTGTTCAGATTATAATTACCATAATATACCAATAAAATCGAAAATTAGTTTTTCATTTCATTACATAAAATTTGTTCTCCAAAAAAGCTGCGATTTTTTTTTGCAATAAATAGAAATTTATTACATTAAAACTTTTCATTCCTATCTACATACACATAATTAAATTTCTGAAAAGGATTATTAAAATATTCTCCTGTGTATAATAATATGCATAGAAAAATGACAAACCTTTTTCATGTTTTTTATAATTTTAAAATAAGTATTCCAATATTAAATTGCTATTTTAAATTTTCCAATTTTTTTTTCTTGTTTTTTTTATTATAGGTTTATAAAACACCATTTCAAAGAATTAGCTATTCACCAACAATTTCAACATTAGAAATGTATCCACACAGTCAAATTATGCAAAGTATATTTCAAACTGTACCAAAATATCAAACAAGTATTTTGGTTAATTGTGAAGTTTCAATTTTACATGTTTACCATAAAAATGTACAACAACGTGTACAATTAAGTATGCTGCCACCAACAACACATTCACCGAATTTATTACATTTGGAAGGTTCAAAACGTAATGGTGATCCAGATAATTCAGCATTAACTGGTTCCAGTTCAACAAAATGGAATTTCTTTAGATTAAATTATTTTATTTCATTTATAATATTATATAAAGCTTCAATATTTTTTGTTCAAATTTTAGCAAATAATATTAATAATAATAATTATTGTAATATTTTAAGTATTTTAAATGTCATTTCATATGTTAATAATGTGTGACGTAATTAATAGTAGATATTTATTATATATATATACATACAATGGTAGAATGAGAGTAAAAATGATGATAATGAACAAAAAATTTCAAAATTAAAATAAAATAAAAACAAAGAAGAGAGAAAAAATTAATTATTTCTTAATTAAAATCTAGAGAATAAATCTAGAGGTAAAAAAAAATGGAGAAAAAATTATAAAAAATTAATTTTTTTTTTGTTTTCGTTTTTGAAATGCCAAATAAAACTAAACTAATTGAAATAAATAAATTAAAAAAAAAATTAAATAAATTTATATAAAAACAAATAAATTACAAAAAAAAACCAAAGTAAGGAAATGAAGCTGATTTATTTTTATTATAGTTTTCACCTTTGTTATTATTTTATTATATTTTATTAACAAAATAATTAGTAAATAAAATAAATTTAATTTATATATATATATATACATAATATTGTAAAATTAAATAAGAGAAAATAAATAAATGTTAAAATGGCAGTAAATTGGAGGCGAAAATAATTTTTTTAAATGACATTATTAAATAATTTAAATAAAAATAAATAAAATATACAAAATAAGAATGGAGAATATTGTAAGAAAAGCAAAAAAAAACCAAAAAAAAAGGAACGCAAATTATATAATATAAAAAATATTTATTTTTAAAATTTATATAAAATATAAAAATTATAAATAAAATCAAAAAAACCAAAAAAAAAAACACAATTTTTTAAAAAAAAGGAAAAGAAAAGGTGAATATAAAGGATTGTTACACACAAAAACACACATACACACACATGTAAATATATGTTTACATAAACACATACGTATGCGCTACAAAAGCCCATACATACGTGTACAAACAATCAATAAGCTAATAATAATTAATATTCAAAAAAAAAAAATAAAATAAAATAAAAAATATTAAATTGCATTACGTGCTTTAACACTTAAGAAGGATAACAAACAAACAGAAAAAAAAACATAATAAAAATAACAAATTTACTATTGATTTAAGCAAAAAAAAAATGCAAAATTAACCCATAAATGAATTTTATTTAAATTACTAAAAAAAAACCAAAAACCAAAAAAAAAAAACAAATGCGATTGAATTTTACGAGCTTATATTGAACATTATAAGAAATTAAATAATATATGAATGGCTTTAAAAAAAAGTACATAACATTTTTCTATTTTTATATAAATATATACATACATACTTATAATTATTATACAATGCAATAATTACATTTAAATAAACAAAAATTGCATGTATAAAAAAAAATTTGTTACTTTTTTGTTTCGTTTTATTTTTTTTTTTAATTTAACAGTCAATTATTTTTAAATTAAAATATATAGAGCGTATAAACATCAAATTAATATTTCATTACGTAATAATTCAAAATTAACCCTTTAATACATTAAGTGTTTTCGATAAAAGTGGAAGCGTAATTTTACTTTCAATTGGTTTTTTATTCTTTCATATACTTTAAACAATTCAGATATGACAGAAATTAAAAATATTTATTTGAAATAATGTGAAGTTTATCAGAACACGGTGTTAAACATTAATTTATTTCCATTCGAAATTACATTTTAATATTATTAAAAATGAAAGAACTGAAAATTACATTTAAATATTGGAAGACACGAATAAATGGAGCCTTTAACTGCAAAATTTTTGACGTATTAAGTGAATTTAGTTTAAAGTATTAAAAATGTTTTTAACAAATATTATATTTTATAACATGCATTTTCCATATGAAAAGTAGTTTTTTTTTTGAATATTTCTTTAATAAAAGATTACTCGTATTACTAGATTATTATACATAAAACAATTTTATTGAAGTAAAAAACTTCGTTTTCGTGAAAATTGTAATTAGTCCCTTTTAATCGTTCATATTTTCTTACATTTGATTCTATCAAAATATTAAAACTGTTTAATTGAATTGGTTCCCTTTTAGAGATTATGGTAACTGCTGGGTTAATTAAAGTTAAAAATCAAGGCGATATGCTGATAGTAAGAGAAGAGAATAGTTACCACGTCGAAATTGTATGCTTGCAATCCGAAAACTATGTTTAAAATTCAATACATTTTTTCTAATTTTATTCTTATTTTACTATTTTTGAATACGAAAATTCTACAAATTGCTTTAAAATAATGTATGACAGTTTTTAACACTTTTATAACAATTATAACAATAATATCTATGTTTACAAATTTCATAAAATCATTCTTTTTAATGCATTTTTAACAAATTATTATTTGTTTTTATATTAATTTCATAAATTTAAAAATAAAAAAAAAATTTTAAATTGTTGAAATTTAATTACCTAAACGAATTAATTATACTAGTATTACACAAAAAAAAAAAAACAAAAAATAAATGATATACGTAAGTTCATGAAAATTCTTAATAATTAAATAATAATTTCGAAACAAAATAATTATAATATTAAATAGTATATTTGCAAGTATAAATTTTTTAAATTATAATAATATTATATAACAATATAATTTGAAACAGTTCTATATGTTTCAAAATTCTATGAACAAATTTGTCTAACAAATAATTACCATTATTATAATTTAAAATATAATTATTATAAGAGTAAAATTTAATCGCATTTTCTAATTAAATAAAAACAAACCAAAATTAAATACATAAAATATTGTATATAAAACTATATAATTATATAATAATATGATAGTATAATTAATACATAAATATGTATAATCTTTAAATATATATATATTATTATTATTATTGAATAAAAATCAAAAAAAAAAGAAAAAGAAAGCAAACCAAAAACCCATAATTATAATAGGTAAGAGTATATTATTAAATAGCATTAAAAAAAAATTGAAATAAATTGGCTATAAAAAAAATTGAATAAACTTTAGCAAACGTTTATGACATAAACAAAAAAAAATTATAACATAATAAAATACAGATGAGAAAAATAATAATCAAAATTAATTACAACATTATAAAATAAATTTAAAAATAAATTAAATAAATATATAGACTAAAATAATATAACAGAAAAAAATAAAATATACTTATAGGCACAGATTAGTTTTAAAAAAAATCTAGGTATATATATTATTAAAAATATAATTATATACAATACATATATACATAAACATATATGTATGTATGTGTGCATATATGTATATAGATATAAAAGAAATAATATAAAATAAATAAAAAAATAAATGTGTATAAAAATAAGTAAATAAAAATTATTGATAAAAAAATATTAAATTGAAAAAGAAAGAAAGCAAAAGGAAATAAAATTTAAAATTAAAAAAAAAAATATATTATATAAAAAAAAAAAAACAAAACAAAATAAGTTGTATTAAAAAAATAAAAACAAAAAAAAAATATGGTGAAAACAAGGAAAAATACAAAAAATGATAAAAATTGTGACAAGAAGAAAATAAAATTAAAAAAACAAAAACACATAGTTTGATTTAGAAATTCTAATAAGACAAATAAATTCGTTTTTAATTATACAATTTCAAAGGCGTTTTTATTTAATTTAAACAAAAAAATTTTTTTTGTGTGAACTTTCCTGTGGGTAGCATCGATTTGCAGCTCAGGTTTTAGTTTAAATAATTAACGGCCTCTGTATAACCAAATACAATAAAACATCTGTTTTTTAACTACATTACTAAAGTACGAAACATTAAGGATTTAGTTTAGGGTAAAATGGAATTTTGACTTATTGAATTCCCTTCAGTGGAATATATATGTATATATTGATTTTTGGTGACCAATACCTTTAAAAATATCATTTTATGAGATCTAATACAATCCACTGATCAAATCAATCTAGAATACTTAGAAAGAAGACCAATATATTAGAATATTCTCTCCCATTGTCTTACATGCATTATCGGAGGTATAACTTTTAGGCAAACGCTTTTAAAATATTAAATGATCTTGATTTTCAACCAATGTTATACATTAAAAAGTTAGGAAAAAGTTTTATTCAATATTTTTTATGTAAGTAAATATTTATTAAAATTAGAATTCCATAAAGAATTTACTGAAAAAATAGTAAGTATGAAGGTATGAATCAATTTATTGCTCAAAATCTAGTTTACATTTTTCTACATGATAAAGTTGTTTTTCTACAGGTAATTTTATCATGAAGCATATTAATTACACAAAATTAATATGGCTATACGGCAAAATGAAAAAAATTAATCTTTTTTGGAGAAACTAGATTTTCAAACTATAGAATTTTAATTTCGTGATAACTGCGATAAAAAATCAAAGATGTATTTTTAATTGTTTTGGGTGTTAGTCTTTTTTGGTAATTTTTTTTTTATTATTATTATAAAATAGTAGATTTCTTTCTAAATACATTTAATCATTTTTATTATAAAAGATTTACTAATTTCAAAACATATATATCTACAAAAGTTACAACATATTAACTTAATGAACAGCATTTACATCAGCTTCGGTCTTGTGATAAATCATAGTGTCGTAGAAGTACATGTTATCAAGATCGAAGTATTTAGTATCAACATGACGATTGAATGGGAAGCCAAATGGTAATGCATCAAGATATCTTGCTCCAGATCCAACTCCACAGGAAAGTGTTTGATCGAATCCACTGAATTGTTCAACTTTTGGTGCATGATATGGTAAGACAATGTAATAGAATTGGAATGGCATACCACCTTTTTTGCCACGTGGCAACATAAGTCTCTTAGGGAAACCACAATGAGCTTCTGACATATCTAATGGGAATTTGTGTGAATCACCATTTGTAGCTAACATTACATTTTTGTAGAGTTCGAAATATGTTGTTCTATCATTAACGAACCATGAGAAGTCATTTGAGTCACGAGTGATGACATTTTTGCCAGCAACTAGATCAACTTTGAAATGTTCCAATTCAACAAAGTTTTGGAAGTTATCTTTAAGATGAATTTCATGTCCCAAATGATCATATTTTGGTCCAATGAAGAATTTAACAACAGCTTTTTGTGCTTTGTCTGAAGTAACAGTCAATTTTGTTTTGAATGGTAAGTGATTGAGACGGTATTGACGTGCTTTAACATAGAAATCATGACCATCATAATTTCCAACGCGTCCAAATTTAACGAAATCTGTTGCTTTGGTTTCATCATAAATTTCAACATCTACAGCATTTGTAATATCAGAGTCGAAAACATCGAAATATGTAACTAATTTTTCAACTTCAACATTTTCGATTTTGACACCTTCAAATCCTAATTCTTTTTCGGTGTATGAGTCTAAATGTTCAACAAAGTCCCAATAGAATTGTGTAATATGTTTGTACATTGAGTAGAAAGCTGGATCTCTCATTGAAGTTTCATAATGCATTAAAACACCTGGGAGTACATTGCCATGTTTTCCGAATGGAATGCCATCATTGATGATTGTACGTACAAGTCTATCGTAGTCACCATAGTATTTAACATTGTATGAATCTTCGGTACCTTGGATCATGTTTCCGAAAATGTCGTAAGATTCCATTTCGTGTTCGAAAGTATCGAATTTCATTTCATACCAGGTAAAATCTTTTTTGAGTACATGATGGGTGTCGATAACATCAAAGAAACGTTGTTCATAAGCGGAAGCACGATGTACGAAATAATAATTATCTTCATAATACAAATGATGGAAATCATCACGGTTGGGGAAGAAAACACCATTATAATAACGGAGTCCAGTATGGTATCCAGTATCGAATTTTTCATAGTAGTTGAATGCTGGTACTTCTCCTAAATTATGTGACAAGCGTTCCATATAGTAACGAGCCAATAATTGCCAATGAAGGAAGAAGTAGAAGGCACCACGATGATCATTCTTTAAGGGAGCCTCTTTCAAACCTTCAGTCCAGTATGGATAATCTAAATTGTAGTAATAGTAGAATTGATTCAAGCCAACATCTTCAGTGAAGTATGACAAAACATTTTCATCATTGAAATGTCCCCATTTGCCAGTGTAATTGCTTTGGATAACGAGTTGGTAAACATCTTCAACTTTCTTGATGGTGTGGAATCCATGCATCTTGTAGAATTGAGCTTTTTGGATTGTTTCTGAGTTGAAGAAATAGTATGGGTAGATTTCGTAAATTGATGGTAAAACAATGCCGGCAGCATCTGGATGATGTAATACAGCAACTGTGAATGCATAGACGAACAATTGTTTGTTAACATGGAAACGTGCCCATAAAGCAACATTTTGGAATGTTTCCCAATCTTTAGCAAATACAAATACGCCAGCCAAATAATGAGCAATTTTAACGTGTTCTTCATCAAAAACGCTGAAGATTTCATCGTCAGTTAAATGATGATGTACCCACAAGTCATAGAAGTCTTTAACAAATTGAACTTCCTTGAATTTGTCATAATTTTCTTCAAAATGGAAATCTCTGCCAGCTTCATATTTGTGAATAAATACATCATCTTGATGAACGTGTTGCAAGATTTCAAAGACGAAAGCTTGTTTTACTAAGAAATCTTTTTCTGGGTATTTGACTTCAGAAGTCATATAACTACCAGAAGCTAAGGCGGCTAAGGCACAAAGTACTATTACTGCAGTCCTCATCGTGATGAATGATACATTAACTGAGCATAACTTTGCTTTTATACTTACTTTTAAACCGGTACTTAAACACATACAATCATAATATTATGGTTTTTCTAATCAGTTTTGTACGTTAAACATAAAAAGTAAGAAAGTAATTTTTAATCATTCATTTTTAAATAAGTGAAATGGAGGTGAAAATTTGACCTCGACTATGATTGTTCTGAATAGAATGTATATGTGATATCAATTCTAAGTTTTTTTAATACTTTAATTATTTTTGCTTTTAGATTGAACAAACTAATATTTTAGTATGTTGCTATAGTAAAATTTATATCATATTACGAATATTTTTCATATTAGGTATATGTTAAAATATTTTGATATACATTCTACAGAGACTTAATTGAATTGCAACCGATAATATAAATATAACATTAATTGATTATTGAGATGTGTAAGTTATTGATGGAGATCAAGAACGGAGCACATTTATTGGGCTGAGTTGAAAGAGTTTTATAAAAAAAACTTAGTAATAGAAATAATGGCGTCGGTGAAAGTAAAGGTAAAAGTAGACAAAATTTGATCGGAACTGCATCTTGGTTCGTTAGAAAATGTTTTTCATAAAAAAAAAGAGATTTTATTTGAAAGTAATTTTTTTTCGGTTAAATATTTGTAATGTTAACAGTGTCAAATAGCATTCGCTAATTTTTCTAATATTTGAAATGTCACAATATAAAAAATTTACTCTTAAATAGATGTGTATAACAAGAAACACCGTAATAATATTATAATGAATAAGAATGAATGCAGTTGAATGAATTGTATTGGAAAATAAAATACAAAATAGAGTTCCTACAAAAAAATTTTATGCTTCGGTAAAAAAATTATTAAGTGAATTAATTGAAACTCATAAATTTCAATAGGTTGTACGATGTAGTGTTTCAAACTAATTTAATTTCAATTGACCTCGAAATATTGGTAATAATTTAAAATCGAACTCAATTCACCTAAAAAATACACTCTAGTACATAAGATTTCTGCGAAAATTCAAGAATTTTCTTTAACATTTCGATTTCAAATACAATGTATTTTGCATACATTGTGTTAATAGTACACATACAATCTTTTCACGGATAGAAAGCTTTACAATTTTTTATTATAAATACTATTTCTCTTAATAGACAGCTGGCAGAGGAGGTCATTTCAATTATAACTTTTCAACTATTTTATAATATGTTGATAATGAGTACACAATGATTATACATACATTGTATTAAACAAAATTATAAGCTTATTCCATTAGCTTATTTATATTAAAACACAATCTATTTTTAATCAATTCCAAACTCACCAAATCAATTATAATAATATTTTCAATAGGATCGTCATATGTTATATAATTAATGCAAAACCTAAAATTTATTACTCCAAATAAAATCTAAAAAAATTTAAAAATTTAATGCTATAATGAATAATTATTTGTAATAATGTGCTGGACATTTTTATAAAGAATATATAACTAATATATGAGGGGCTCAGAAGCAGAGTGGCGTAAGCCATAATGTGGATTATGCCACTTTGCTTTTGAAAAATCAGAAAATTTTTACAAAAGCAAAAGTAAAAAAAAATTTTTTTATTTGTGGCTTATGCCACTCTGCTTCTGCTACCCTAAGGTTTGTAAGAAGGTGTAGTAAATTCATAGTTAAAAATCTCTTTCGTTGCAAATGAGAACAAATTATTGATGAATTCATACAAAATTTAAAAGATCCGGCAAAACGGACTTTTATCTGATTATTTACAATATTTCGTTTTCTAGTTTTCTTTTTTTGACTTTCAGTAATTTTTATGACTACGCATTTTTCACATTTAAACACAATCAACCGACAGACCGACAGGTTGCTAAAAATAGTTTATTCACATTTCCCTACTACGGAGAAGTGCATTCTCACCGAAAACTCGATATGCAAAATTTGTTGCCATCACATAACCTACCTATTGCATACACAATGCGGTCGGTAATAATTGTTATGAGAACTGTGAAAACTAGTAACACTAAGTATTCTCCTTTAAATATGAGAACGAATATAGCCAGTATTTAAAAAAGACACAATGTATACAATAAATAAATACAAAGCAAGTTATCTATTGGACAAACAACAAACACAATGACGCAAAATTGTCTAAGGTAATTTTATTTAATAATAAATGATTACATTAGAACTGTTTAGCTTGCATTTATGTTATTGTATAAGAAATATATTACAATAAAGTAAAATATAACAGAGTGTGACACTAATTATGTGTAATTTTTCACCGATTTCAGTGCATATAAATGTTTATCTGAAACGCCCCACTACGTTATATTTTGTACATTTTTAGTGTACGACTACTTTTACGGTTTTTTTTTTTAAGTTTTGTACTTTAAACTTTTTGGAGTAAATTGGAACCCATGAGTTGCTTCAAATATATTTATTCCAGCCTCATTTGCCGTGGCAAACTATATACTAAATGGGGAAATAAGATCTTATGAGTGAGACTTTGACTATGAGATTATACCATGTCAAATATTTTTTTGCAGGGTTTAAATCTCTGATTAATACAATACAGATTAGTTAATAAAAATAAAATCACTACGTATCCCTCACAGTAGGTTTTGTACGAAAAATTTGTGCTGCAAAAATACACCTCTTATCTTTTTGGGTAATCAATAATAAGGCTAAATCATACTAATTTATAAATAGATCACAATATTATTTTAACGACATAATGTGCTATAATATTATGATTAGGTTATTTATCAAATTGTAGTCTGAAAAGTTTGCTGAGGTAAACAGATGTTAGTGTTACTATGGAATCAATCGGGGGTATACGTTATTGTTGCATCAATGTTATAAAATCATCAAATAAATTTATATTAAGTAAGTGTCAGTTATCAATAAATTTTCAATCAAAAATTTCTCGTGAATGATAGATTAAAAATGCAAGTGATTTTTAGAATATGGTTTTGTAAACATCACATTTCCTTTAAAATTTTTAGTACAAACCTCATGATAATTCCATTATTGTATACTGTATAAAATTTATAGACTTCGTCAAGCCAAATTTTATTAAAATAGAAGTAAAAAATTTAGCCTAAATAAATCGCTCACTTTCTCCTCACATTTACGTTATTGCTCAAATTTTAGAAATACAGCGCATTAGATTTCCAAGTTCTAAAGATCAAGGGAAATTGAACAGATTCTGGGCGGGAGAGGCAAACCGAGAGATCACCAAATTAAGGTATGTTTAAAGGGGTAGAAAATTTGCTTAAAGTAGAGAAAGTGCAATGTTACGTCACCATATCAAGTTAATATTGGAATTAAATCTAAATTATAATTAATGTATGGACAGACTATAATTTTTACTTTAGTGCATTTAAATAATTTCTTTTTAATCGCAATGCAAAAAAACACACTTTTTGTGTGAAGTAGTTTGTATTACTCTAACAAAAAACTAGTTGTGCCTGAAATAAAATTTTTTCATGATTTATGAGAATAATAAATAAATTTTTGCTCTTGAAAAGTTCTAATTATACTACCAAACTATGTATGTAAGTATACATTATAAAAAGTAAAAGTCGAAAAACAATAAGTTTGCAACAATAAATATTCGAAAAATTTTAGAAAATACAAAACCTATGAGCAAAACGTCATATATTATAAAGTGTTAAAATTATCTTTAAATCAAGGAAATAGTTTTCATGATCATCAAATCTGCCACAATTGCATTTTATGATAAGTTGAATAATTACAATATCAAAACAAGGTGTGTTACGCACCTAATCCTTACTCCGCCGTTTATTTCATTTCGATTCCAGAAGCATGTACCTATTTTTTATAAAATTAAAAATTAAAGGAAAAAAATTACCCACTAAAGGAAAAATGGGTTTGGACCAATAAGTCTGTTTGTAATAATTTTAATTTAATTGTTGCCTAGTATAACAGTTCTTCGATATTTTATTTTTATAAACAAAAAATAATAATCAAACCATAAGACTATAAACAGTTTTTTTATTCGATTATTTATTTTTCATAAAGTTTACATACATACATGTGTATATACATATTATAATAATAAAGAATAATAATAATTTTCAGACATTACAGAAAAAAAACAATAAATACAAAAAAAAAAGTATTCTTATACTACCACACCATTATGTTTTTCTATGCAATAATTTTGTCTCTTTCTTTTTAATGATACTTTAATGTTAAGGTTCAATGTCAAGTTCAAAAACATAATTTTTACTTTTTTTTCTCTCTATTATCGTCGTCTTTAATGCTCGATTCAATGGCCTTCTGAGGTTGAATTCTTTTATCACCAAAATATTATGATTCTTTAATTTTCATAACAAGTAATAATTTAATAAAAATTATCAATTTTAGTATTTTTTATATTTAAAAATATTAAATACAATCATGACATTAAATTACATTATCAAAAAAATATTTTAATAATATACACGAACTTATGTATGTATGTATGTAGGTATATAATTATAGATGTGGGTGCGTGTGTATATTGTATAAATCTATATGCAGGATAGATATAGACTCATAAGCAATTACAGTGGGAATTAAGAGACAAAGTGGAATTTGTAAAAATTGTATTTATTTTTATATTTCTTCGTTTTTATTGCGAAACTGATAAATTGTCTGGAGCATTTAGGTTCATTAAAATCAAATAATGTATTACAAATATAGAAAAAATATACAAATTATAAATTTAAATCTATGAATTAGAGAATTTCCAATAAAAATGAAAATAAACCTAAAATAAATTTCATTCAGTAATTTTCTCGAGTACAACACATTTTTTGATACCATTATTAATAGCAGAGATATTTTCGTTTTGTCTCTAGGTAAAAAACATCAAAAAATTTTTAGTTCATAAGTATAGAAGTAAAATATTTTCATATCTCAATTATTCATTTGAATTCATTTAATTTCTAACAGTGAAATGTTAAGTTTGGAGTAAGCTACAAA